CCCTCCCTCCCTCCCTCCCTCCCTCCCTCCCTCCCTCCCTCTCTCCCCTTCTGTTTTTTCTTGGGCGGAAGGTGTGTTTGCTGTGGGAGTCCTATGTATGTTCTAGAAATACATTCCCGCCTTGGTCTCATGATTCCTTGTTCCCTTTCGTTAATGCTTTCTTTGCCGTAAGATGCAGTCATGTCCTGCTGCTTCTTTTAATTTCCAGTGACAGTTTGCTTTGCTTCTTCTTTTTGTGCTACAAACATAGTGGATTTATGGTCTGTTGGGTGCATTATGGGAGAAATGGTTTGCCACAAAATCCTCTTTCCAGGAAGGGACTGTATCCTTGTGCTTCTGCAGCGGGATGAATTTTTGGTAATTAATTTCTTCTGGTAGCTGTCTTCTCTCCCCCCTCTTTTATTTTTTCAATGTTACTTCTTGGGATGTAAGTCTGACACCGTGTTTGTTTCTTAAAGCCCTAATATGTATTTCTGATAAATATAAAAATGAGAAATTGCTTCTGTGAAGGCTGCATTTAGCAGTAGGAAATAGTCTCCACTGGGATAGTGGCACATTTTCATCCATTTACGTTCCTCCTGCCTCCTCCCTCTCCGTTGCCCCTGGCCGTTTTGTTTGTGTGTTTCCTTCTCAAACTCCCTTTTTCGTTGTTTCCTTCCACTCAGTTAATGTCATTGCATTTTGATTTCAGTTGACATTTGGTCAGTGGGGTGCATCATGGGAGAAATGATCAAAGGTGGTGTTTTATTTCCTGGCACAGACCGTATCCTTCCTGCGGCCTTGAACAGAAATCTGAGCAGACAAATCTTCTCACACACCCAAGAGCATTGGATATTTTAATGGCCTGATAAGTTTTATTGGCAAATATTTTTCCATGCAATTTGGCATAGAAGAAAAATGGTCTTTTATTAAGAGTTCAGTCAGCCAAGAATACCTCGTTTGAGTGTGATCTTAAACTATATTTGGACTTACAAAGAAATCTGTTTTTGTCCCTCAACATAATTTTCACCTTCACTTCTTTGCATTCTAGCCAAACTTTCAAGTGTTTGGCTTTTTTTTCTAATACTGTTGCTACCCAACATTTTGCTAATATTGTATGTGAAAACAGTTTTGATTGTTCCTGTTACTAGTGGGGGGGGAAGGGGGGGCGCAGATTCCTCCAAGTGTAGGTGCCTCAGATGTTCCCCCTGGATTTTATTCTTCTAGCAGCTATTTTAATCATCATTTTTAATAGATTAATGTATTTTAATATTCATCTCTGAATGACGGTGTCACAAGTTAAATTATTACATCTCTAAGAGACTCTTCAGCTGAAACTGACATGTCCAAAAGTTAATACAGTTTGAAAGGACAGCATCAGATACACCATTTTACGAATTAGGATAGAGGCCACTAATCTTGGCCATAGGTCTGGTGGGAAGCGTATATGCTTCTTTCTCATTCAGCAAAGACCTTTGGCACAATGCACACACTTTGTACCACAAACCTTACGTCCCACTGTGGTGCAGCATATAGTGCAGTAAGGGAGATATTCTTTCCTAAAACAATTCTTGGCTAAGGGAAAAGGACAAATTTTATAGAGAGATATTATAGATTAACATCAGTAGAAATATCTTCCTGATAATTATTAAATGTTTTAAATGACAACTTTATAAAAACATAGTTAAGTTGCATAAGGTATGGCAGGCAAATGGGGGGGGGAGGGGAAACCCCCCCCCCATCTTCAGTTGTTAGGTGGAGTTCCCCTGTACCAGGCATGAGCTGCGCAGGCGCACGCCTTGACACCCCACCCCTGCCAGCCCTTCGTGAGGAACCGCCATGCGGCAAAAGCACTGTTGATTCACAGGGATTCCCTCCTGCTTGGGTGAGGCAGAACATTTGTGTTGAAATCTTCCAAGTTCTCCAGCTGGCCCAAACCTCATCCCCAATTCTGGACCCCTTGTTTTAACTATTTAGTTAAACGAACCAGAAATGCGTGTCCTGAGTCTGCCGGCTCAGAATTTGCCAACATCATTAGGGTTATTATTATTTTTTTAGAATGGCACACTTTCGATAAAGACACAACTTCTCATCACATATTTTCTGTTTGTTGTTGTTTAAAATTGGGAAGCCACTTTACAGTTGATATGTGTGAGAAATGGATGAGTTTCTTATTTTCCAATTGCAAATGCTTATTTTTGAGTTGCTCATATATGACTCTTCTACATTTCTGCATCCCAGACAAGAATTCACTCTGCTTTTTGTCCGTGGGGGTCTGTTCTTGTAGGCCAGCAAAACCAAAGAGTGGAATTGCTGTGGAACTCTCAAATTCTTTTTTCTTGCTCTTCTCAACACTTTTTTTTTTGAGCAAATGGTAGTTTTAACGTAACCTTTGTTTGAACACCAAATACATAGATTTTCTTAGCTTCGTGATTTCAGATATCGATCAGTGGAATAAAGTTATTGAACAGCTAGGGACACCCTGTCCCGAATTCATGAAGAAGCTGCAGCCAACAGTGAGGACGTATGTGGAGAACAGGCCTAAATACGCTGGCTATAGTTTTGAAAAACTCTTCCCAGATGTTCTCTTCCCAGTGGATTCTGACCACAATAAACTGAAAGGTAAGAGACCGTTAAATTTTTCTCCTGCAAATGTTGAACCGTCATCTTGAGAATAATAATAAAAGCAAAAGGCACATTGGATTGCAGGCTCCCATAGGTGGAATTTTTAGCATTGGGATATCACATCTACCTCGTTAAATGTTCCCATTCTCCTATAAATAACTAGCTTCACCTGAAAATCTTTTATATGTTTTATATGACTATTCCAGGGCTTACCTTTGTTGTAGAATAGCAAAAGTTCTAAAGAAGGCAGATGAGTTTCTGGTTTATAAAAAAGAAAATTCTACTTTCCTCACATTCACACTATTTGACCAATATACCAGAAGGAAGGAAGTAAAACTGGTGGCCTGTGGCCCTTCGTTGAAGGAGATTTCTCTATTTTGTTGATGACATGGATGCCAAAATCTTTCCTGGCCCATCAAGTATTTTGCCTTTGGCCACCAACAGCCGCTGGGCACAGATTAGCCAGACAGCCAGACCCGCGTTTTCCCTTCCCCAAGACTTGTGAAGCGATTAGTGGCCTTCAGCTTTTCCAAACTGCTCCAGGCCATTCCAGGTGGTTCTACCACAAAACCGCGGACGACAAAATCGCGGTCGACGAAAGCGCGTATGTGACGTCATCACAGCG